ATTGTGAGCGAGGTCTTTTCCTTTCCTAAGAAAAGAGGTATTCAGCCAGTGTTGGGTAAGTTACTTTAAAACACTACTTGATAACTAAATACATCAGTAAATTTGTATTTAAATTACTTTTCTAATTAATTACTTAAAATACATTTAAGTCTCATTCATTTCTTTTTCATCGGCTTAGTCTCTTTATTTAGCAGGGGTTGCCACAGTGAAATGAACCTCCAACTTATCCAGCATTTGTTTTACACAGCGGCCCTCCAGCTGCAACCCAGTACTGGAAAACATCCATCCATACACTCTAGCCAATACACTAGAGTCAATTTAGTTTAATCAGTTCACTTGTACTGCATGTCTTTGAACTGTGGGAGAAACCAGGGCCATGGAGAGAACGTGCAAACTCCATAGAGAAACGCCAACTAACGCAGGCTGGGACTCAAACCTGCGACCGTCTTGTTGTGAGGCAACAGCGCTAACCACTGAGCCCCCATGCCGCCCCCAATAAATCTCAATGCATCCATAAATTTTTTTTTACTTTTTTAATTCAGTCAATTTATTTTAAACAAATTTAATTACTGTCAACACATTTCATACATGTATTTCTATTATCAGTAAAAGTATTTTATATATTAATTTAACTTATTTGCTTTACTTATTTGACTTACAAATTTACTTAACATATTTTTATTTGTTTCCAGAAGACTAGTGATGATCTTATTTTCTGCTACAAATTTTGATACATTCACAATCATTTGAGAAGCAAGATTTGAAAAGGCTAAAAAATGTTGTAAAATTAAGTGAGTTTGGGGGAAAAAAGTGTGACTCCTTAATTTAAAGAGAAAACATGGTTGTTTTCCTCGACCCACTGTCAAATATTTTGCTAGTTTTAATCAAAAAAACATAAAAATAATTCAGTAATTTCTAAAATATATATATATATATATATATATATATATATATATATATATATATATATATATATATATATATATATATATATATATATATATATATATATATATATATATATATATATATA